GTGTGTGTGTTTCAGAATTAAATCAAGGGGAGGAATGGCAAATTGATACATTTGACTTGGTGCCTTCTGTGTATATTTCAGGGGTGCATGGCAATTCCTAGTTGATGTTTATTAGCTCATAGGTATTGTTGGTCTACATTATCCCTTCATTGAACAATTCTGCCTTAGTTGTTTTTTTGGAGATAGTTTTGATAGTACCACTTGGTATTGTGTCACCTATGATGATCAACCAGTTGTTATAGCTGCTACATTTCACTGATGTAACTGCGGCTGTCTGTACTGCTTGAGATGATTGTAACTGCTAGTGATTTCCCTGAGATCTCTCAGGTGTGGCTACACCTCTGCACAAGCACCTGTAGATTGGCTGGACATCAATGTTGAAACCAGTAACAGAAGGGATTGGGGTGGGGTAGGAGGCCCGGGCAAGCGACAGTACACTGGTTTGAAACAATCTGAGCAGTACTTTCTGTCTAAATATATTGATGATGGTATATGTTGATTGTTCATATTTAACCTTATCTCATGGTTGGTAGGTTCTATCTAAGCATAAAATCCCTGATGACTTTATTCTTCCCATAGTTGATTAGATTCTCTGATATCCATTGTTGTAGTGCTGCACATGATGATGAATGTACCACTAACTGTCATTAAGAAAACTCCATAATTGTGTCTGGACCTCTGATGAAGCACATGTTTTCCCTAAAATGCTTCTGTCCTGTGCCTATCATGTAGATGGATTCTGCTTCCCCTTCTCCAGTTCTCATCCCTCAGACAGTTTCATACACAAGGTGTCTTCAGCGTCCTGTGTCTGCTTCCATGTTCACCAGTACCCCAACATGATAGCGTTGACTAGCGATTTAAAAAAAAAATGTTTAACTTGAGCAGAATGGCAGTGTGTTTGTTGTTTCATGAAGTTTTCTCTGAATTGCCACAACATTTGGATACTGGCAAGTAGTGATGCCAATACTATGTCTACAAGATTGTTGCCTGTCAGCTTATGTTAGCAGTTGTAGGTGTGTCAACTTGGCCAGCATGTCTAGTGCTTCAAATAATGACATTCTCTTGTCTGACTTGGATGGAGAAAATCTTGAAATGTCTGAACCGCTGATGAAGCAGCTTAATATTCATTGAAACAATTTGAAACATAGCATGAAGTTTAATTGTTGTTTGTGCATAGTCTGGTGTCCATTATGTCCAAGAACACACTACTAATCTGTCAGTATCCTCTGCTTTATATTGTACTTTACATGACATTTAACTGTGTCATCTTGCAACGGCTTGTCCTGTGTATCATGTAGGACTTGTAAAACTGCTTGTTTAACTGTGTCATCTTGCAACGGCTTGTCCTGTGTATATCATGTAGGACTTGTAAAACTGTTTGTTTACTTTGACATATACAAACAGAATTAGCCCTTTTTTGTATGTCATATGTTCAACCACCTTAGGTGTTGTTTTATAACTATTTTATATCTGTTATATGTTACAACTGGCCATGTTATATACCAAATGACAAGACAACTATCTGGTGACTGTCACGTCTGCAGACAAGATTATTACTGCTTTAAATGATAAAATGCTTGACCCTGGATTTGAATAAAGAAACACTCAACAAGTGTCTGGACCTCTGATGAAGCACTTGTAGACTTCGTTTTGGCTTGTGCTAGTTGATATATCTGTTTATGATCATAGCTGCTGATTTATTTTATGTTCCTCCCAATAGTATAAATGTTCTGTGTAATCTTGGTTTCTTTCATTTGCCTTCTCATGTGTTTGATATTTCTCATTTATTTGGTTCACCTTTCCCAAATTTGATTGTTAAAAAAAAAACACTGATAAAGATTTCTGCTGGACTTGTATTGTGCTTGTCCAGGGGATGATGATGATGCATGCACCACTAACTGTCATGAAGACAAGCACTAGTTGTGTCTGGGTGGAGCCCATCCCTCTCAGACTTGATCTTCTTCACACTCACTAGCTGGACAGAGCCACAGACAATTCTCATTCTTTATTTACTTCTGAATGTTAAAAGTCTTGTCCCAGAACTTGACTTTTGCATGTACATCCATTTGATAGATCTGGCTTATTTGTATGCAGACTGTTGGTTCCTTGCTCATCACAGGCAGATGTACTGGTGATGAAAATCAATTTGAGCAGATGTCCTCCAATATTTGTTGATAGTCCTCCAATATTTGTTGATAGTCCTCCAATATTTGTTGATAGTCCTCCAATATTTGTTGATAGTCCTCCAATATTTGTTGATAGTCCTCCAATATTTGTTGATGTCCTCCAATATTTGTTGATAGTCCTCCAATATTTGTTGATGTCCTCCAATATTTGTTGATAGTCCTCCAATATTTGTTGATAGTCCTCCAATATTTGTTGATAGTCCTCCAATATTTGTTGATGTCCTCCAATATTTGTTGATAGTACTCCAATATTTGTTGATGTCCTCCAATATTTGTTGATAGTCCTCCAATATTTGTTGATAGTCCTCCAATATTTGTTGATAGTCCTCCAATATTTGTTGATAGTCCTCCAATATTTGTTGATAGTCCTCCAATATTTGTTGATAGTCCTCCAATATTTGTTAATAGTCCTCCAATATTTGTTGATAGATCTTTGTTCTGAAGTGTTTTTAGGACCCTCATGGGGTTTTTGTTTTTGAAAGCAGATGTCCTCCAATATTTGTTGATAGATCTTTGTTCTGAAGTGTTTTTAGGACCCTCATGGGGTTTTTGTTTTTGAAAGCAGATGTATGTGTTTATGCCTGTGACTATTGTTGGGTGAGCAAATACCAGTGTTTGTGTGTGTGGCTTCAGATGAGGAAGTCTCTTGTCTCACTTGTTGGAGAAATCTAGAAACATGTCTGAACCACTCATGGAGTGGTGCTTTTGAAATATGAGTAAAGAATATCAGTCTGTTGTGCGTAGACTGTTTGTTGTGTCTGTCATACGTGACCTGACTGTTGGGCAGCCATGCTGTGACTATTATATATAGAGGTGTGTTTTGCTGCTTCACATGATGAGACATGTTTGACTGTGCATTGCAATGAAGAAACACTCAACAAGTGTCTGGACCTCTGATGGAGCACTTCAATCTCAAACTTTGTATGCACATCAATGTCAGGAAATGTTGCTGTGTGACTGATAGTGTGTGTGTGTCTGTGCACAGTGGGTCGTGGCTTTAAGATAGAGCAAGTGATTTTTGTCATGTCAGAATGGTTAATAGATCTACCAGTCTGTAAACGTTTCCACTGTAATCTCTTGATGGTTGCCATTGCTTGTTTATCTGTTGTAGCTTAAGGCAACAATTCTATGTTTAAATTTTGACAAGAAAGGAGGTAGATTTCTCTTGACCTTTTAATGCCTCCTATTTAAGTACTTGCACTGTGCTACTTTTCACTGACTGTTGCTATATCGGTAAGCATGACTTCTAGAGCATACAGTAACAGTCTAGACAACCTGATGGCTGCCTGCCTCTCCCTGCTAACCATCCTTTCAATGTCCTGCAAGATGAAACTCCTGAACACCGACCCTTGTCTGTGCCCCTTGATGATACAGCACCCAGTGTGTTGCTGTAGAATTCTTGTATTCATACTCATGTACAGTTATTAGTTTCCTGTCTGTAGGTGCGTACAACAATGCTTTTCTCCGCTTGTATTCTGGCCTATTGTTTGAATGTCATTTTACTAGCACAGTAACATGGGAACTCACAGTTGTCTGTTGTACTGGCTGTTGCGTCATCCAGCCTGTAGGATGGGAACTCATGAGTTGTCTGTGGTACTGAGTGTTGTGTCATCCAGCCTGTAGGATGGGAACTCATCAGTTGTTTGTGGTACTGGCTGTTGCGACATTCAGCCAGTAGGATGGGAACTCATCAGTTGTCTGTGGTACTGGCTGTTGTGTCATCCTGCCAGTAGGATGGGAACTCATCAGTTGTCTGTGGTACTGGCTGTTGTGTCATCCAGCATGAGGGATGGGACCAAACATTTAATGTGCCACGATTAGGGGTTGGGGGAACATGCTTCAAATGATGACATCCACACTTCAGATCCTCATGAAGACAACTGTTAACAAGTGTCTGGACCTCTGATGAAGCATTTCACTGACACCCTCCAGCCATCGCTCACATTCATTGCTACAGCAGTTCACATAGTTGTGTGGTGTCAGGTTGTGTTGTGTTGTGTCAGGTTGTGTGGTGTCAGTAGATCATCCCAGGTATCCGTGCTGTTTCAAACCCAGATGTGTCTGGTCAGTGACAGGTCAACAGTCGTGGCATACACCAGACTTCATGCTATATTTAGTGGAACTCCAAGAGCTTGTTACATCTGTTTGCCAGGCAGTATTAGGATGTCTGTATGTTCTTCTCTGACACTGTTACCTCTGGCGGAGCTTGATGGACAGAAGGGTCTTGTGCCTGTAGGGACTGCCGTACAGACGCTCGTGAGTTTGTGTAGGTTCTAGAAATCTGTTGCTTCAGATGATGACACATCCGCACCTCAGATCTACATGAAGACAACTCTCACAAGTGTCTGGACCTCTGATGAAGCAACAGTTACACTTCCAGTTGATATCCAGACCTTAAACATTGGGACAGAGAATGGTGACTCTACACAGATGCTACAGGCAGAATCTGTGCAGCCTCTCAACATGGTAGTTGTTTCATTTGGTTTCACTTGGTTACACTTGATTTGTTTATTGTCACAAACTCTTCACTGTGTGGATGACTAATTGGTGTGTGTTGGGAATGTTTTAGCTTTATAGTGAACTCTAATTGATGTGTGGTTTCTTTCGGCTGCATAGTGAACTCTAATTAATGTGTGATATGTTTTAGCTGTATAGTGAACTCTAATTGATGTGTTGTTTTTTCGGCTGTGCGACGTTTTAGCTGTACAGTGAACTCTTGGTGTGGTTTTATTCAGCTGTATAATTAACTCTAATCGGTGTGTGGTATGTTTCAGCTGTATAGTTAACTCTTAATCGGTGTGTGGTTTCTTTCAGCTGCTAAACGACAGAGATTATGGAGTCCAGACTCTGAGCGGCAGGGCAAATATTTCAGTAGCCCGGTCAAGGAAAAGCCAGCGTTTAACTCGGTGCTACTGGGATCTGTGGTCAGTGAATGTCCTGTCCTGAAATGTTTCATTCTTTGTGTTGAACTGATCTGTTGATGGTCCCAGTTGCTGCTGCAGTCAGTGTGCATCACACGGCGCTCATTGGGCCGTATTCTGTGGTGAGGCCTAATTTCCTCCATGGCATGGCTGTGGCACCCATATGAAAGCCTTGTATCCATTTATGTGAGAGGGGGGGGGGGGGGGGAGGATTGTGAAATGCAGTTACTAACCCAAGCCATGATACTGCATACCAGAATTTAAATCAAAAGCAGTAGTGTTGTGGAGTTTTATGTACACTGAAGCCATCTGGATGCACATACTGATGATGCTTGTCTGATAGGCACGCTGGACTTGGATGGAAACCTGAGACTTTGAGGACATTCTGGGCAACAATCAAGATGACATAACATACAGTTCAACACAGGTTTTGGAATTATATCTCAACTAGGCAAATGTTACATTTGGAACGTTAAAGATATTTATGTAATTATATGTATTTATGTAATTATATGTATGCATTTTAAGACAAGTTTGTGACTGGTTTCAGAGTGATTCTTCAATGCTGGGTGACAGTTTGCACACCTCTGTATTTTATCCTGGCAAGACACGGTTTGGTGGAGCTTCAGCAGAGAGGCGGACATCACTGAACACCAGTCTGCCGTACCAGGTGAGGCATACCTCAGCTTTAGCTTTTACTTAGCTCAGCGTATTTGTGGTCTGTGCTTAGTAATTTGAGAACATCCTGCAGTGGGATGTGTCCAGGTTGTTGAATATTTGCTACAAGGTGTCTCAGGAAAAGTTGTTAATGTGCACATTTATGGATGATGTCAGGGGCAGTGAACAGCTGTTGTGTATGTCAGGGGCAGTGAACAGCTGTTGTGTATGTCAGGGGCAGTGAACAGCTGTTGTGTATGTCAGGGGCAGTGAACAGCTGTTGTGTGTGACAGGGACAGTGAACAGCTGTTGTGTATGTCAGGGACAGTGAACAGCTGTTGTGTATGTCAGGGACAGTGAACAGCTGTTGTGTATGTCAGGGACAGTGAACAGCTGTTGTGTGTGTCAGGGACAGTGAACAGCTGTTGTGTGTGACAGGGACAGTGAACAGCTGTTGTGTATGTCATTGGCCCGGTAAGTTTCAAATCCTATAACATCTCATAGTCATGCTGCATATCCCGCTGTAGAAAGCTACTGTCCACTAGCTAATCAGGGCATAGTGTGCTGCCTGAGACATCAGCTGCTTATCTAGTTGCTTCAGTACTGACTTGCACTTTACAACTGTTCACTGTCCATAATTGTATCAGTGAGCATTACTTCTATTGCACACTGTCAGACACCTGAAGGCTTCTAGCTTCTCCATGGCAGCCAGCCGTCCAGTGACAGGCAAGTGGTATATTCTTTACCACCTCACATAACTTTTGACTGTACAGTTTGCTTTCTCAACCGGCTAGTGTGTGCAAGTGGAAGAGACGTAACACCTCACGTAACCTTTACTGTACACTCGGCTGAGGTAGGCAGCTAAATCTGTTTAGTGCCAGTTTTATCAGTAAAAATTAATGAATACTTAATGCTACATTTCCTCTAGTTGATTCTGTTTGAACTGGACAGTTTTTTTTATTTCAAGTGCCAGCCAGCCTCATACATATAGTTCTCTCTTTTATGCCTCCACTTTTCCCTGTTTATTTCACATCTTGGTGTTTTTCCCATCCCCAGCCAACCTGTCTAGTAGTCTATATATTTGATCATTTTCTAAGTATCTGGTTCAGCTCATATATCCAATTGTTAGTTCATATATTTAGTTGTCAGCTGATGTCTCCAGATGTCAGCTCATGTGAACGACCTTCACTGTCTTGTGACCATCTACTAGCCATTTATACCTCCAGCCTGTCTGGATGACTGCTCCTGTAGCCAGCCTTCTACTGTCCACAACTGTAACTGTGTTTATGTTGTGCCCAGTGAATACTTTCACCTGAAACAGTGTTTGGGCTAAGTGGAGAGCTGCCTATATAGCTCAGCTGACTACTCATTGTATTTCCTCCATATACCTACATGGTAGATTAGTCTGTTCCCATATACTTACAATGTATATTAGTCTGTCCCCCATATACACACAGGGTATATTAGTCTGTCCCCTAGCCTGGAGAAAAATGTAAAGTGCATCACAGTTCAGGCACCCATCTGAATCTGTTTCTTTTCTGTGGAAGAGACATGTAACTGGTTGAATACACATCTACATACTGATAACGCTGATATAATTTCTGTTGTAGTCATCGCTGCCACTGAGGAAACAAGTGCGGCCACACAGTGTGAGAAACAACATTCAGGCCACTACCAGCGCCACAGCTCAGAGGATCTTGGAGACGCTAGATAGGATGTCCACACCACTAGGGGTAAGTCACACATGTCGTATATATATGGTTGTGGCACTGTTAAACCTTTCATGCTCCCTAAGTTCCCTCACTGATGCTGCAAGGGATATAGTTGATCAGATAGTTTTAGTTAATTATGTCTGTTGTGTTGTCCCAGCTATTGATCTGAGACTTCATATGAAGTTAAGATTGTTTATTATAAAAACACAGTGTCCGTTCAAGTGCAATGATAATTTCATTGAAACATTGACAAGACGCTTCAGCACCAGTGGTAATGTACTTCACACAAGTGCTTCTAACAGGCTGTTGAATGTTTATCAAATATAAACTCACATGCCACTTAACTAATAAACTGGTGTGCTTTCTCTGTGCCAGTGACCTCTGCTGTTGTATCTGGCAGGATTTCCCAGACACTACCACCGCTGAACTTGACTACCTCCGCTGAACTTGACTACCTCCGAGCAATCTGTTACCAGAACTAATCCCAAGAGGGATCTTGGCCTTGCCTCAGTGCCACTCCCCACATCTACTTTCCTCAGTGCTTACATCCTTTAGTCTCAGATGTCATGTTGTAATCTATAGTTGTTGTTGTGTTTCCCTGTGGTAATTACTAGGAACTAAGCGTACTAGCTTCTTGGCGGTCTCCATTGTTCGCTCCTATCTTCTTCTATACATAGCCTTCCATTTTGCTACATATTTATATACTGTAGATGTAAGAGTTTAAAAACAAAATCAACTACAAAAACATGGATACAATAACATCAGATGACTTCTCTGAGATTAAAACGCTGGTCAGTCACTGTTGTGCAGGTCCTTGTCCCTTTTAGTGACCTGTTCAGCTTGGACCATATCCAGGCCTGTTTGGAGAGTCTGAAGCTGGACAGACCATCTGGCACAGAATGGCTGGATGCCTGGTCATCAATATAGTCGGTGTAGTTTCCAGCTTCTGCTCACTGATCCTTGGACTGTCTGTGTGGCCATTGTCTCCTAGCATTCCATCGGAATTAAATGTGGGCAGCAGCCAGTGTCTTAGACCAGCAGCTGTGTGAAAGTTTTATTTCTTATTTGTACATTGTGTGTGGTGTTACAGTCCCTGACATATTTGATACTGATTTCTGACAGGATGCGAAGAAGATACCAGTATCTGATTCCCCCAACGACTCTGTTCTCTCATTCACTGTAAGTACAGCCTCACAGCACAATGAGTTCATGTATATATAGAGTGGAGTCGACTGGCAACACTAAAGAGTGTTGCTGCTGAGCTTGCTACAATGGAAACACAAGGACAGACTGTATAGAGACTACAACCTCAGCTTGTCCTACACCATGCCCTGTCATAAACAGTCATCTTTATCAATGTTCAATAACTCTGATTGTTATACAACTTGCTAAAGAGGTTGATAAGAATGCTCTCTTTTAGACTTTGAATATCACGTTCAAAATTCTTTTTGCAGTGCATTTCTCTGCCTGTAGGTGGTGTTGTGCCACAGCTGCACGATTGCTAATTCATCTGCTTCAAAATGACATTCGCCATTGAAGATAAAATGGTGATACAGTTTCTTCCAGGGAAAAAAAGTTTTTGTGGAAAATGAATTCTCAAGGAATTTTAAAAGGATGAAGTTTAGGCAGACTCTGCAAAAGTGGAAAGCTGGCACTGTTTGGTGATGGGAAGGCAGTGGCTAAAAACGTGCAGTGACATAGACCATCATCATCATCATCATCATCAGGTGCCTTGCCGACTGGCGTGGGCGATCATGCCTCTCCATAATCTTCGATCTCCTGCAGCATGTATCAGTTCGTGTGCCGACACACCTCCATGCCATGCAACAAGACTGTCAAGCATCTTCTCTCGTTGTCTTCCTCTACCTCTCCTTCCACAGATCTTTCCAGTGGTCACAACATGTTCTATTTTTCCTCTTCTCATAACATGGCCGAAAAATGATGACTGTCTCCTTCTGATGTCAGTGATAAGTTGTCTTCGGGCTCCCACCTCTTTTAAAACCTTGGTTGCTCTTTTTGGCTGTCCAAGGTATTCTAAGCATTCTTCTGTAAAACCACATCTCTAAGGCCTCTAAAAATTGTTTGGCCTGCCTACCAATTGTCCAGGATTCACATCCATATGTTAAAACTGGATGTTGTATGTAGCAAGCAAGAATTCTTTTTCTAACTCTCAATGACAAGGATATATTGCACAAGATGTTTTTCATTTTATAAAATGCAGTTTTTGTCTGTCCAATTCTGTTTCTTATTTCAGTTATGCATCTTCCATCCTATGTTATCCATGTGCCCAGATACTTAAATTTCTGTACTCGTCTTAAAAAAACACCATTGACTTTTATTACACATTTAGGAATAATTTGTTTCTTTGATACCACCATTACTTCTGTCTTCCCATTATTCAAACTGAGGCCCATTCTTCCACTTTCTAACACCACAATGTCTATCATTTCCTGTAATTCTTTCTGACTTGTTGCTATCAAGACTGTCATCAGCATAACGTAAATTGTTTATATTGTGCCCACCAACCACAATTCCGGGCATATCAATTAAAGATCTCATAATATATTCACTGTATATTGAAAACAAATCAGGTGAAAGTACACATCCCTGTCGTACGCCCCTCTTTATGCTTTGAAATGTACCTAAACAGTTGTTAATGGGAGAAACATAGACCACAGTGTCATAAACATGGCAGGAAAGAAATGGCTGATCTGACCAAACGCGTATGTTGCAGCGGGGGTTGATATTTTGAGTAGCAGTTTCGATAGTCAAAATATAGGTTAACATTTTCTTATCATTTTATACTGATTTTTATCGGATGATCTTTGACAGTTGTAAAAAAATATTGTGGGGAAAAAAGGTAACGGATTGGGGGGCCACAGTGTGCATAGCATATATGTGTTTATACAAAACATTAAAAAAAAACAAATACTGGGGACGTGGACTGGTGCTGCAGACATAGGAAACATACCTCAAACAACAGAGACCAGACATCACAGTACCACAGACACCAGCTGTGTGTTTATAACATGGGGGAAACATACCTCAGACGTCAGTTGTGTGTTTATGACATGGGGGAACATACCTCAGACGTCAGCTGTGTGTTTATGACATGGGGGAAACATACCTCAGACACCAGCTGTGTGTTTATGACATGGGGGAAACATACCTCAAACAACAGAGACCAGACATCACAGTACCACAGACACCAGCTGTGTGTTTATGACATGGGGAAACATACCTTAGACATCAGCTGTGTGTTTATGACATGGGGAAACATACCTCAGACGTCAGTTGTGTGTTTATGACATGGGGAAACATACCTTAGACATCAGCTGTGTGTTTATGACATGGGGAAACATACCTCAAACAACAGAGACCAGACATCACAGTACCACAGACACCAGCTGTGTGTTTATGACATGGGGAAACATACCTTAGACATCAGCTGTGTGTTTATGACATGGGGAAACATACCTCAGACGTCAGTTGTGTGTTTATGACATGGGGAAACATACCTTAGACATCAGCTGTGTGTTTATGACATGGGGAAACATACCTCAAACAACAGAGACCAGACATCATAGTACCACAGACATCAGCTGTGTGTTTATGACATGGGGAAACATACCTCAGACACCAGCTGTGTGTTTATGACATGGGGGAAACATACCTCAAACAACAGAGACCTGACATCACAGTACCACAGACATCAGCTGTGTGTTTATGACATGGGGAAACATACCTCAAACAACAGAGACCTGACATCACAGTACCACAGACATCAGCTGTGTGTTTATGACATGGGGGAAACATACCTCAGACGTCAGCTGTGTGTTTATGACATGAGGGAAACATACCTATAGTAACAGAGACCTGACATCACAGTGCCACAGACACCAGCTGTGTGTTTATGACATGGGGGAAACATACCTCAAACAACAGAGACCTGACATCACAGTACCACAGACAACAGAGACCTGACATCACAGTACCACAGACCACAGAGACCAGACATCACAGTACCACAGACAACAGAGACCAGACATCACAGTACCACAGACAACAGAGACCAGACATCACAGTACCACAGACAACAGAGACCTGACATCACAGTACCACAGACAACAGAGACCTGACATCACAGTACCACAGACAACAGAGACCAGACATCACAGTACCACAGACAACAGAGACCAGACATCACAGTACTACAGACAACAGAGACCTGACATCACAGTACCACAGACAACAGAGACCTGACATCACAGTACCACAGACACCAGCTGTGTGTTTATGACATTTGGGAAACATACCTCAAACCACAGAAAAAAAACAGATCACAGTACCACAGAAACCAGTTGTGTGTTTGTGACATGGGGGGAAACATACCTATAGTAACAGAGACCAGACATCACAGTACCACAGACACCAGCTGTGTGTTTATAATCTAGATTAGAAATGTTCTGCTTATATTTGGCTTAAACTCCTATTTGTTTAGTAGAAATGACCGTGACTAGCTACTGACCTATGATTCTGCTATGAATAGAAATTATGTTGAAGTTAGTGTGTACATTTATGTGTATATTGACAGCCATCATCGTACAGACGGACAAGTTTCCAGATGGGGCGACCTGCAACCAGGCCACTACAGGTGAGCTCATTTATGTAACACCCTCCCCCACCTGCTTGACAGCATTCTCTTTTGGCGGCGTACCTGGCAATTTCAATTTATCCACAAAAGCAGATCTGTCATTCTTTTATTTATCACTTCTCTAATTGAAAACAGTGTTCCACCCTACCCCCCTTCCCCAAAGTACTAATGCACTTTTGTATCCTCTTCTTGCATACACGTGTGTAACCAACTGTGTTACGTATTGCCCCAGTGCTTTTAACATGTCCCCAACACAGTCCTGTTTTTATTTTATTCCTTTAGTTTGCCTATTATTTTCTTGTTTTAGTTTTTGTCTACTAAATGAAATAAAATACAGACTTCAAGAGCATTACTTGTCATGTGACAGAGAAATGTAACTGTTTTATGGGCAACAGTTACCTGACAGAAAGTGTTTCTGGTTACAGAATCAATCTGCTAAATGTGTTATTTGAGGCAGGATAATTGATGTGACAGAGACTTGCGTCAAGTCTAAAGATCAGTGCATTATAAAAGATATGATAGTTGATGTGACAGAGACATGTGTTATATGAGGCAGGGTAGTTGATGTGGCAGAGACATGTGTTATATGAGACAGGATAGTTGATGTGATAGAGACATGTGTTATATGAGACAGGATAGTTGATGTGGCAGAGACATGTGTTATATGAGACAGGATAGTTGATGTGATAGAGACATGTGTTATATGAGACAGGATAGTTGATGTGGCAGAGACATGTGTTATATGAGACAGGATAGTTGATGTGGCAGAGACATGTGTTATATGAGACAGGATAGTTGATGTGATAGAGACATGTGTTATATGAGACAGGGTAGTTGATGTGGCAGAGACATGTGTTATATGAGGCAGGATAGTTGATGTGGCAGAGACATGTGTTATATGAGGCAGGATAGTTGATGTGGCAGAGACATGTGTTAAATGAGACAGGATAGTTGATGCGGCAGAGACATGTGTTATTTGAGGCAGGGTAGTTGATGTGGCAGAGACATGTGTTATTTGAGACGGGGTAGTTGATGTGGCAGAGACATGTGTTATTTGAGACGGGGTAGTTGATGTGGCAGAAACATGTGTTATTTGAGGCAGGGTAGTTGATGTGGCAGAGACATGTGTTATTTGAGACGGGGTAGTTGATGTGGCAGAAACATGTGTTATTTGAGGCAGGGTAGTTGATGTGGCAGAGACTTGCCGTCAAGTCTAAAGATCAGTGCATTATAAAAGACGGATATGTCCTTTGATTTAGCAATCAGACATGTCATCTGTGAGTCTCAAGACAAAAAATGAAATGCTCACACATGTTGTGCCCACATACTTGCCCCTGTTGTCCAGATGTTTGTTGTTCCATCAGTCGCAGTTTTACAGCAAGAACACTCTAGCTTATTGGATGGGGTCAGTTGTCTCACACTTTCCAGCAGGGTGGCTATTTAGCTGGTGACCTGTGGCCCAAATCTGGCTGTTGGCGGCCCAGCAAATGGCCTGCAGATCACTACCACTCTTGTTGTTTTCATGCTGAAGTTTGAGCCTCTGGCATGTGCCCCTCCCCGCCCGCAGATCACTACCACTCTTGTTGTTTTCATGCTGAAGTTTGAGCCTCTGGCCTGTGGCCCCCCCCCCCCCCTCCCCCCCCGAGTAAGCTGAGTTGAATAGCCCTGCTCTGCAGCTAGCAGCTTTTTATGGACTCAAGGCTTGCCAGATGATTAGGTACTAATGGTTCTTCTTCTCCTCCGCGTTCACCGGCTGTAAAGTTCGGCGGAAAGTTCTGGTTGTTTGTCCACTTCTGGACTGCAGTCCTGTTTCAGAACCCGACTGTTGCCTGTGCATCTGTATGACAGATCTGAACATGCAGACTGTTAGTTCCTTGCCTCCTTGCAGATGCGCTCTGACTTCGAAGGAAGCCATAAATTAGTCTACTTGACATGCTTTTAGGTAGGCAGCATATCTATTTTTGTTTTCCCTATAATAGGGCCCCGGAACCCACAAATATCCCAGTTGCTTCATGGTTTTCACTAAACATGTATAGCTACGGCTATTCAACTAAGTTTGCTTAGGGGCCAAATTGTTGAACAATGGGATTGTTACGGGCCACAAGCCTTAGCATAGAGAAGTCATTAACACAATACAATTAGCTGGTCATCCGTGGGCCATATGTTAGTCTTTACGGGCCACCCGTTGAAAAGCTCTGATATATAGTAATAAAGCCAGCGATAATCTTTGACAGACATAGAGATTGTGAATTGATGACTTTATATCTATTCTGTTGGCACAGGTCTATGTAATGTTTTAACTGACACTTGATTGTCACTGTTGCAGCTGCCAAGCCGGGCACCACCGACAAGTCAACATCAGGTGCTGGCTCAGGCAGTCATAGCTCAAAATAGACATACCAGTGGCATTGTGGACAAGAGGCACAACTCTTCAGTGATAGAAGACCATAATGATGATGACAGATCAATGAGTATTCATGTATCCCAGGTAAGAATTTTGATATCTCTGTAACAGAACACACGATTTGCTTGGCACCTAGTGTCAAACGCAACCAGAAAACCTGCGTTGTTCATTGGCTGGTTGCTGATTGACAGGGTGCAGCTGTTTTGTATTTGTTGGGTGTGTCTGTCAGGTTTGATTTGAAACAATAGCAGTGTCACATGACACAGGGTGTGAGACAGAATGGCGGAGGCAGTCATCTGGCACATGATATAACAGCTATGGTTGTGATCAAAGGAGCTGATGGTGCCTCTGAGGCTGAAACATGTAGAGGTTACATTAGGTTTGTTGTTGAATCCATGGGAGTGTTAAGTTCATCATTGTTCAGATTGGAGCTCTCTGACATCATGTATGGGCTTCACACCTGGTTCCTAAGTACCATCCTGCTGGGTTCAGTTACAGAGCTCTTGTACGACAGTCTCTTCTAACTCAGAAACCCACTGTGTATACAAGACCTGTGCTTGACATTTGTGAACACCACATATGAACCAGGTTGTATTTCATTGACAGCAAAGGTTAGCAGCACAGTTGTCCTACACACTTGGTCAACCCATTTTGTGTGTGTGACACCACTCAGACAGCTAGTTTAGTATGAAGCAGCTTGGCGGCCATTGTGGTTTGTTTAGTCATAAGGTTAACATCAGGAAGGGAAAGAGAATGAAAGAAGAAATTACTACAAAAGGATGAGAGCTGAGCGTCCGACAAGAAACAGATTTAACACAGATGTTGACAACAACGGTTCTAAAATCCCTGGTTATAACTGTGAAAGACTTAACCTGGGTCTTGCTAGTCATACTCTTTATTGTTAAAAGGGACTATTGGAGACAGTCGCAATGTAACAAAATGCTACAAATAAGCCACTGTTATGTGGCTTCTACTTAAAAGAACATGACAGATTCTGTTGCCTGCACCCAAGACATACCACATCAGCAAATGGTCACAGATTATCATTTCTAACTGTAGGATAGGAATAAACTCACAGGGAGCAAGTACAGCAGGGATCTACCAGTCATCAGTAGAAATTATTCTCGTCGACACGCGTTTAGGCCTACGATTCCTAGACTCATTCGGAGGTGGGCCCGCCTGAGTTCATGAAGCTCAGGGCTGGTTCCCTGCTGCACGAAATTACCGGATGGTGTTTTTCTTTCGGCCAGAGACAAGACGACTTGGTGGTTTGCAGAAGGTACTGTGAGGTAAGAAGCCGCCGCGGCAGCCTAATTAAAGCAGTCAGCGTGCCTGGACGACCGAGCGACAAGCTTACGATTGGTTTACCGGACACATGTGGCAGAGGAACACTGGCAAACAATTCGGACACGATGCTTTCAAGGGGTGAGAAACCCTTTTCCACTAGACACCCGGACCAGCTCACCGAGGCCCGTCCCCTACGTTGTTGCGTTGCGTCCAAAGCCAGCTAGAGGCCCTTTCGGCTACCTCTCCTAGTTTTTTGAGTGTTCGTTTCCGTTCATTACCGCGCAATCCTAGTTCTTTAACCACATTGTAGAGCGAAGTGGAAACGAGGCCTCTCGCTCCCACTTCGACGGCAAAGACCCGTACTGTGTAAGCCTCGTTTCTCCTCAGACCGGCTGTAGTAGACTTTGAGGTGATTCAGCTGCAGCTGGTAACGTATGTTCTTGCTTGGCATTGTCAAATTGTTTCTATACCTATTTCTATTTAGGATGTGTGTGTTTTTTTTTTCACTGTCAGGCTGTTGGTAAAGTGATACATGATGTTTCTTGTTGCTAGGCTTCTGGTAAAGTGACACAGGATGTTTCTTGTTGCTAGGCTTCTGGTAAAGTGACACTGGATGTTTCATGTTGCTGCTAGGCTTCTGGTAAAATGACACAGGATGTTTCTTGTTGCTGCTAGGCTTCTGGTAAAGTGACACAGGATGTTTCATGTTTGCTAGGCTTCTGGTAAAGTGACACAGGATGTTTCATGTTTGCTAGGCTTCTGGTAAAGTGACACTTGATGTTTTTTGTTGTTGCAGGAAGCTAGAACTCTACTTAGCAGGGTACAGCCACCAGCTTCCAGCGAGACAGGGGGCATTCTGGGACACCAGAGTGATGTCTCCGGGAAGATGAAAGCTAAAAGGTTCACACAGCATATTTCTAACGTAGGAGTAGATAGTGACGTGAGTACTGTAGTTTTGTTTGTGACTCTGTCTTCATGTTGCCTTCAGCTTTTCTATCTTTTATGTTTTTCATATTATATTGGCTATATAGGTTGACCCTTTTATTTATCTGGGTTCTACAGTGGATAACAAACATCGCTAGGTTAGGCAGCAACAACAATGAGCAGATTAACTAAAAGAGTTTAGGAGAACAAAAAGCTCAGGATTAAAACATAAACTGTTGTCTATCAGACTTGTGTTCTCAGCACTCTGCTTTATGGCAGTAAAACTTGGTCAACCTATTTGCACCAGGAGAGACGGCTTAATAGCTTTCACATGAGATGCCTAAGAAGAATAGATAGCATTAAGTGGCAGGACACAAACACTGAGGTACTGGAAAGAGCAGGTACTACAAGTCTTTTCCATGCTCAGTCTACGAATACTAAGGTGGCTGGGTCGCATCTGGAAAATGGAGTCTCTAAGGACATCCTTTAAAGTGAACTAAAGAAGGGTACAAGATGTTGAGGCTAACCTTTATTGTGATATAAAGACGTGTACAAGAGTGACATGAAATACAGGTTTTGAGGTGAACTCATGGGAACAAAATGCCATGGACTGTGTTGTGTGGAGGGGGCCCATCAGGGAGGGAATGAGAATGAAAAAAAGAAATAACTACAGAAAAAAGGAGAGCTGAGTGTTTGACAGGAAAGACTAAACATAGATGTTGACAACGGACCTAAAATCCCTAGCTATAACTAAAAGACTTTTCTTGATGCGGGCAGGTCTTGCTAGTCACACTCACCATCGCCACGGGCTGTGAGTCCCATGCGTCCTCATAGTTCAATATAACACTTTTGTCAGGAAAGGTGAAAGGTGCCAGTCAGTATTGGCTATAGCTCACACACATGCGTACAGCTGCAATATGGGACAATATGTTCATCATACACAAGCCAGCCGTATGTTACCCTTTGCATCTGAAACCATTGGTCTAAGGTAGCACCTTGATACCCCATGGTTTCTGACTAGTCTAAGGTCATATCCACATTGTAAATGTTAAAGGCAAAGATGCTGCGTTGACTCGACAAAATGATCAATGATTAGTATTTGACAGTAGGTAAGTTTGTGTCTAAATTAGTGGGCACTTTAAGTGAGGTTAGAACAGGCGAGACCATCTAGCATGTCCCTCATTATATGCCTTCCTGGAGCATTGTCCCAGATGTTCTACAAGTAATTAGAGACATAGTTGCCCTGATACCTTGTCCCAGATGTTCAAGTAATTAGAGACATAGTTGCTCTGATACCTTGTCCCAGATGTTCTACAAGTAATTAGAGACATAGTTGCCCTGATACCTTATCCCAGATGTTCAACAAGTAATTAGAGACATACTGTTGCCCTGATACCTTATCCCAGATGTTCTACAAGTAATTAGAGACATAGTTGCCCTGATACCTTATCCCAGATGTTCTACAAGTAATTAGAGACATACTGTTGCCCTGATACCTTATCCCAGATGTTCTACAAGTAATTAGAGACATACTGTTGCCCTGATACCTTGTCCCAGATGTTCTACAAGTAATTAGAGACATACTGCTGCCCTGATACCTTGTCCCAGATGTTCTACAAGTAATTAGAGACATACTGCTGCCCTGATACCTTATCCCAGATGTTCTACAAGTAATTAGAGACATACTGTTGCCCTGATACCTTATCCCAGATGTTCTACAAGTAATTAGAGACATACTGTTGCCCTGATACCTAGTCCCAGATGTTCTACAAGTAATTAGAGACATACTGCTGCCCTGATACCTTATCCCAGATGTTCTACAAGTAATTAGAGACATACTGCTGCCCTGATACCTTATCCCAGATGTTCTACAAGTAATTAGAGACATACTGCTGCCCTAATACCTTATCCCAGATGTTCTACAAGTAATTAGAGACATACTGCTGCCCTGATACCTTATCCCAGATGTTCTACAAGTAATTAGAGACATACTGCTGCCCTGATACCTTATCCCAGATGTTCTACAAGTAATTAGAGACATACTGCTGCCCTGATACCTTATCCCAGATGTTCTACAAGTAATTAGAGACATACTGTTGCCCTGATACCTTGTCCCAGATGTTCTACTAGTAATTAGAGACATACTGCTGCCCTGATACCTTGTCCCAGATGTTCTTCAAGTAATTAGAGACATACTGTTGCCCTGATACCTTGTCCCAGATGTTCTACAAGTAATTAGAGACATACTGTTGCCCTGATACCTTGTCCCAGATGTTCTACAAGTAATTAGAGACATACTGTTGCCCTGATACCTTGTCCCAGATGTTCTACAAGTAATTAGAGACATACTGCTGCTCTGATAAATGACTGCTGTTTGCTGCATGCAACCTGACGTGTCAGGTAAAATAAAAACAGCAAACTAAGCTTTGATTGTTTGTGGTTGTTGCCCATGTAATCTGGTAATCCTAGTTTCAGCTTCATAGCAAACAGGTCACCCCACAGATGCTCCGCTCCTGTGCCAACGAAAAACAATAGCAGCTCACAGTGTCACGCCATGCACTCAACTCAGAAGCTGGGCGACGAAACTACATCCTTCTAATCTACAAATGGAGCAAAAATGCAACGGCCATCGTCTGGCGGAAAAAAACACATTTGCCACGGCTTAAAAAAATATTTAAAAAAAAAGGGTGGCCGTGCCTAGCGTCCATTTTGACCGGAAGAATTTTATTAGTGGTAATAAACGGTCACCCCAGCAGTACCCTCATTATTAGCTGGGGAAGGTCTTAGGACATTACATCCACCAGCAGGCGTCGCCCCTACAACGACCTGCCTGCCATCGTTAACGACTGTTCACCCAACAGCCATGCAGTTCTTTGACACGAAGGAGACACCTTGAACTTGGGTTTCGTAATGCCGACTCCCTACTAAGATGTTATTTTATGTTTTGTTATCACAATTAATGTCTTTGCACATTGGGCATACCCATGCGTGCTCAGTTCTCCGAAGCAGCAGCCACTCCAAAGTACTTCTACTAATTGTCCCCATGAGAAGCTGGTTATATTGTCTCCTTTCTCGGCCTCGAAGACTGCAAAGACGTGCATCACCATGATTAACTCCCATGTCACGCAATCGTGCTAGTGTCAGGGATTCCTCATTCTCCACTAGCCCAGTTCGTACAGCGTTGACTATATCTGCTCTGTTCATACTTTTTCCCGCAATCATTAGTGGAGTGCTTGCCAGTTGGTCTGCTCGCTCATTTCCCTTCACGCCCGCATGACCCGGTGTGTAGATCCAGGCTACGGAGGTTAAGTGCGATTTCTGAATGCTTTCTATCCATCCATGTTGCCCATCTGATAGTGTTGTCTGTCACATTATATCCACGATGGATCATCATGATTCTGAAAGGAGTGACCAGGGGATCGGGTCGACAATCAGCACTCAATTTTTGTAGTATTCCTTAATAAACATTCTTGCCACAGGTTTCAAACATTTCCTTGTGTTTGTGCACAGGTGATGGAAGTCCCTAACCTGAGAACAGAATTCACACTGCCCATCTGCAACATGGGCCCTATATCTCTACAGCCCATGAAGTCTCTCACAGTGGCCGCCTCCAGTGCTCCACCAGCTGATGATACTGTGCCTATGAAATTTATATTCTCAGCTCCGATAGACGAGAAGAGGCAAGCCTGCAGCCAGATGTCCTCAGGGGTGTCCGATAAGGTGATTGATAATGTTTGTGTAGCTATGGGAATAGACTGGTAGGCACTAGTTGGTTGTACACATAAATGTATAGTTATAAGATATCCCCCAGTCATATAGAGGTATCAGTATAAGATATCCTTCAGTCATATAAAGGTATAGTTATAAGATATCCCTCAGTCATATAAAGGTATGCCCAGCTTAAAAATTGAAATCGAACAATCAATGGAATCTGCCATCAGTTTAGTACAACAGTTAGCATCTAAACCGTACCTCATTTGTGGCAGTAGATGGAGCATCTATGAGTATGCCCGGTGTGCTTTGATGTTGATTCTTAAATCAGTAATCAGTTTGGTACAGGTGCATTTAGTGTACTTGTCAAATTGTCTGGTTCTGGGGTCACATCTCAGGTGAGGATTGTTCAATGGATGATTGTCTACAAATCTATCTAGCCTATATCATGCAGGCATTGACCTTTGAGTGGCTAGGATATAATTACAACAAAAATGTTGACACTGTGCTTACCACATAGATCATATGTTGCCAGTCTGTTCTATGTATCACGAATGTTGCCAGTCTGTTCTATGTATCACGAATGTTGCCAGTCTGTTCTATGTATCACGAATGTCGCCAGTCTGTTCTATGTATCACGAATGTTGCCAGTTTGTTCTGTGTATCACTTGTCATTGTTTTGAGTATGTTTGCTTATAATAGTAGCTCAGTGACTTTGATTTTAGCAACATGGTTGGCCGGATGGATGTTTCAATGCAGTATATAAGATAATCGGACAAAGGTTTGTTAAAAATGGAGTATTTGTAAAAACTTTCATCTGGTTAAGATCTGTTTTATTTCTGGCAACTCAGATATGAATAGAATTTAATTTAGTTTACCTGGAGTGAGTCGAAGCATTTGATAGAACTTTGGATATGTTTTTATAAGATAATTTTTGTTTATGGAACACATTTATTTCATTACTTCATATTTATTTCATGGTAAAAGCATGATTTGTTTGCAAAAATATATACAGTGTTGTAGAACTGTACAAAGTTATCTCACTAATGTTGAACAGTACCATTTATATTTGTAGAACTTCAAATTTACCTCACCAATCAAGACCTCGCAGACAAAGACGAGTGCAGCTGGAGCTGAAGGAGAGTCCAAGAGCTGCCAGGAGCCTGCTGTAGGAGCATCCTCAGGCATGCCCATGTGGACGTCGTCTTCTTTTACTGCATCGGTTCCAGCGTGGGGCTCTACGGCTCCCAAACCTAAGATGGCATCTCCAGATATTGGAGGTAGGTTGTTTCAACAGTCACTCCAGTTGCCAGACATATGTACAGCTGTAGAATTACACCAGACGTGTACAGCTGTAGAATTACATCAGACGTGTACAGTTGCAGAATTACATCAGACGTGTACAGTTGCAGAATTACATCAGACGTGTACAGCTGTAGAATTACAAGACGTATACAGCTGCAGAACTAAACCAGACGTATACAACTAGAATTACACCTGACATACAGATGAAGAATTACACCAGACGTATGAAGCTGCAGAATTACACCAGACGTATGAAGCTGCAGAATTACACCAGACAATAACAGCTGTAGAATTACACAGTCGTGTCTGGTCATGAATGACTTGGGTAGCATTGAGACAACAGTCATGTCTTGTCATTAGTGACTTGGGTAGTATTGACACAACAGTCATGAATGACTTGGGTAGTATTGACACAACAGTCATGTCTGGTCATGAGTGACTTGGGTAGTATTGACACAACAATCATGTCTGGTCATGAGTGACTTGGGTAGTATTGACACAACAGTCATGTCTGGTCATGAATGACTTGGGTAGTATTGACACAACAGTCATGTCTGGTCATGAGTGACTTGGGTAGTATTGACACAACAGTCATGTCTGGTCATGAGTGACTTGGGTAGTATTGACACAACAGTCATGTCTGGTCATGAGTGACTTGGGTAGTATTGACACAACAGTCATGTCTGGTCATGAGTGACTTGGGTAGTATTGACACAACAGTCATGTCTGGTCATGAGTGACTTGGGTAGTATTGACACAACAGTCATGTCTGGTCATGAGTGACTTGGGTAGTATTGACACAACAGTCATGTCTGGTCATGAGTGACTTGGGTAGTATTGAGACAACAATCATGTCTGGTCATGAGTGACTTGGGTAGTATTGACACAACAGTCATGTCTGGTCATGAGTGACTTGGGTAGTATTGAGACAACAGTCATGTCTGGTCATGAGTGACTTGGGTAGTATTGAGACAACAATCATGTCTGGTCATGAATGACTTGGGTAGTATTGACACAACAGTCATGTCTGGTCATGAATGACTTGGGTAGTATTGACACAACAGTCATGTCTGGTCATGAGTGACTTGGGTAGTATTGAGACAACAGTCATGCCTGGTCATGAATGACTTGGGTAGTATTGAGACAACAATCATGTCTGGTCATGAGTGACTTGGGTAGTATTGACACAACAGTCATGTCTGGTCATGAGTGACTTGGGTAGTATTGACACAACAGTCATGTCTGGTCATGAGTGACTTGGGTAGTATTGACACAACAGTCATGTCTGGTCATGAGTGACTTGGGTAGTATTGACACAACAGTCATGTCTGGTCATGAGTGACTTGGGTAGTATTGACACAACAATCATGTCTGGTCATGAATGACTTGGGTAGTATTGACACAACAGTCATGTCTGGTCATGAGTGACTTGGGTAGTATTGAGACAACAATCATGTCTGGTCATGAGTGACTTGGGTAGTATTGACACAACAGTCATGTCTGGTCATGAGTGACTTGGGTAGTATTGACACAACAGTCATGTCTGGTCATGAATGACTTGGGTAGTATTGAGACAACAGTCATGTCTGGTCATGAGTGACTTGGGTAGTATTGACACAACAGTCATGTCTGGTCATGAGTGACTTGGGTAGTATTGACGCAACAGTCATGTCTGGTCATGAATGACTTGGGTAGTATTGAGACAACAGTCATGTCTCGTCATGAGTGACTTGGGTAGTATTGACACAACAGTCATGTCTGGTCATGAGTGACTTGGGTAGTATTGAGACAACAGTCATGTCTGGTCATGAATGACTTGGGTAGCATTGAGACAACAGTCATGTCTGGTCATGAATGACTTGGGTAGCATTGAGACAACAGTCATGTCTGGTCATGAATGACTTGGGTAGTATTGAGACAACAGTCATGTCTTGTCATGAATGACTTGGGTAGTATTGACACAACAGTCATGTCGGGTCAATGAAACTAGAATATAAGTAGTGTTGGTCTAGCTGAAAGTAACCATTAGGACACCATTGACACTACAGTCATGTCTTGTCATTAAAACTAGAATGTATATAGTGTTGGTCTAGCTGACAGTTATGAGTAACAATAAGTACACTGTTGACATGGACAGCTAGATGTCTGTGCCCCCCCCCCCCCCCCACACACACACACACACACACACACCATTTAGGTTGTCATGTGTTTCTGCTGTCATTCACCAGGCACCTCATCCAGTTTCAAGTCATACAATAAGTGGGGCGGCTTTGAGAAGCCAGATGACAGTTCTGCTGCTTCAGATACGCCAGTTGGGTTCTCCCTAGCTCCTGCAGCCACTCTGAAGACGGGCTCTGTGATGGATATACTTGGAGGAAAGTGTAAGTCTTCTTTCAGCGTTAACATCACAACAGATTTGTCATCCTCTCACCTGCCCTCTAATGTTGTACTCATCCTCTCACCTGTCCTCTAATGTTGTACTCATCCTCTCACCTGCTCTCTATTGTTGTACTCATCCTCTCACCTGCCCTCTATTGTTGTACTCATCCTCTCACCTGCCCTCTATTGTTGTACTCATCCTCTCACCTGCCCTCTATTGTTGTACTCATCCTCTCACCTGCTCTCTATTGTTGTACTCATCCTCTCACCTGCTCTCTATTGTTGTACTCATCCTCTCACCTGCTCTCTATTGTTGTACTCATCCTCTCACCTGCTCTCTATTGTTGTACTCATCCTCTCACCTGCCCTCTAATGTCAGGCTATCAAGTCATGTTTATAGAGCAGAGTAAGCCAGTGTGGATGTGTGTTTGAGACCCTTTGAGATAAAAGTATTGTGAATGGGCACCTCAGTTTTGCAAGTCTGTTATTGAAGTGTCAATAATCTGGTCAGTAGAAAGGTAAAATATCTGATAAGCAGAAATAATAATGATGAATGTAGTTCATTGAATTCATTTGTTTCTTTTACAGCATCAATACCTGTGTCTACCCCAGCAACGATGATGTCTAACGCAGCCAAAGAACGTGAGTTAATCTGTTTGTTGAATCAGCTATGCCCTTCTTCTCTGACAGTGACAACTGTGTCATGGGGATTCAAGAGGCATTTTGTACACATGCAGTAGCTAAAATATGTAGTCATTGGTGGGGGGGGGGGGGGGTGGGGGTCTCTCTCTCTCTCTCTCTCTCTCTCTCTCTCTCTCTCTCTCTCTCTCTCTCTCTCTCTCTCTCTCTCTCTCTCTCTCTCTCTCTCTCTCTCTCTCTCTCTCTCTCTCTCTCTCTCTCCTCTCCCTCCCTCCCTCCCTCCTCCCTCCCTCCCTCCCTCCCTCCTCTCTCTCTCTCTCTCTCTCTCTCTCTCTCTCTCTCTCTCTCTCTGGGTGTGTGAGAGAGAGAGAGAGAAATATGGTTTTGCATTTTTTGAGTTGGTTTGTAGGAGCTGGATTTTGTGATGTTATGACAAGAATCACCAATCTGGTCTTATCTCTAGCAGCTGGCACTGAGGACTTGATGGCCAAGTTCAAGAAGGCGGCCGGGTCCTGGGAATGTGATGCCTGTATGCTGGTCAACAAACCCGAGGCTAACAAGTGCGTCTGCTGCGACACAACAAAACCTGGAGCCAAACCAGCTGCTTGTGGATCTGGTGAGTTGTTGCTGGGGAATGACGCTAGTCAGGTGGGTGGTGGGTACAGATAGGGGAAATGGTGCTGCCCTTGCTAGGACAGTCATTGACAACACTGTCACGTGTACTCACCTACACAATGCTCATGTCAGGAATGTGATTGCTTCAGATAGATCTGCATTCAGTGATGGTGCTAGGGTACAGATAGATTTGCATTCAGTGATGGTGCTAGGGTTTCTACCTTGTCCTAGCTCTGGACAACCTGAAGGTTATATGCCTTTCTATGCTTACGAGCCTCCCAGTGTCCTGTGGCAGGCATCTGCTCCTGAGAGATGGTTCATGGAGGTGAAATCTTTTCTCAGATACCATGTATTTTAGTTTGTGCTTAAAATGCCCAAACTAACCATTAAATATAGGCTTATCATATTTTGTATTTTTGCACTAGATTGAATGAACACATTGCAAGAAAGAAAAGTGGGTTTATTTTGTTTGACATAATCATGTGGCTGTAGATATGGTGCCAAAAAAAAAAAGTGGCAGATGAAAAGTATGTTGTCTATCAACAATATAGTCTAAATTTATGATTCTGCATCAGAAGCGGCAACAGTATGTTCGTCATGCAGGCTGAGACACAATAGCGTCAAGGCTTACAGGCTCTGAAAGGATACTTTCACCAGAACTATCAATATCGGATACTGCCGCACTAATGTTCGCTGTCAACACTGTAACTGCTAGTCCAGTCTTAGTTAAGCAGCGACATGCGAATTATTAAAGTCAAACTGTTCAGTAATATCTTCACCTTGACTTCCCAGAGAACAGCAAAATCACATGTAGCAACAGAAACAAAATATAAATTTGAACACCATGATCACTTCATAAATATGACGCCATGACAAAAATGCGACATTAACTATTTTAGACAGGTGCGATTTCGATTGTCTTTCTTTTCCAAAAACCTTTGATGAGGGAGAGGGTAGTAGGTGGATTTAGTTGGGGGGGGGGGGGGGGGGGGGGGATCAAAGACTATCTCTATATCTGAGCAGACAATGATTGTATTAGACACGTGCGATTTCTATTTTCTGTCATTTCCATTTAGCCAAACTATGCCACAGTAACGCGTGGCCGGGTACGACATAAGCTTACAATGAAAATTCATCAAAAATTTACTAAACGCACTACAGAGTTGTTTTCATTCAATAATTAGAGAAATGAATAGGTTAACCCTCTTAGCACGGGCGGGCCGATTATCGGCCGGCGGATGTCTGGCCAAAAACACGGAACGGCCGATGATCGGCCCGATCGTGTCTCGCCTCGAACCGCTAAGAAATCTTCTATTTTGAAACACTGAAAGTGATTCATTCATATTAACTGCTGTATTAGCTTTACAAATGGTGACTTTCGAGTGTTTTGTATCCAAGTGAAAATTTTTGTTGAATTTTTTAGATAGTGACCTGAACCGCTAAAAGTACGTCTGACTCGTATGTTTCTGCCTCTAAACTTGATGTTGATAAAACATTTGAATCAAGTGATTACACTAATTCTGTTGATACTGATGCAGGATTTAGTGTTAGTAGTAATAGTGGGAATCAGATGGGGACGCTGTTGTGTTCAGACCACAGCCCAATCATGGCTCATGGTATATGCACCCGAAGGTGTTGACACTCCGGCACATCCATTTCTTGTGCTGACTGATGGTGAAAAACACATGTCACCTAAAGATATTATTGCTGTTTCATATATATATACCTGTTTTTTGACTATTGAATTGCTTACAACATTTGCAAAAAAGCCAAAGATCAATAAAAAGATTTCAAATAAAAAAAAATTGTTTTTAGTTTTATGTTTCAAGCATTGAAGTTGAAAATTCAAATTCAAATTTTCTATTTTTTGAATATGCAAATGAGATAATTTGCATATACATCAATTAATTTTAACGATATTGTGAAAATCATGAACTTCAATCTAAATCCTTCAAATAGATATATGATTTCATGGGAGTCAGAATAACAGAAAAAAATTAAAGTAATAAGCAAATTTACTGAAAAAATGCTCCGTGTTTTTGGCTAGACATGTGAAAAACTTCCCGTGCTAAAAGGGTTAAAGGCTTTTACCTGCTTGATTGCTTTTACCATGACGGCGAGCGTCCAATGTTATAATTGCAATCTTGGTAGCCCGGTGTAAATGTTGGCAGATCACATGACGTGCCATCTGGAAGTCTGTAGGTTAATGTACTTACACTTGCATCATTGTTGAACAGGCACCACAACAGCATCATCATCAAGTTCCACGGTGCCAGGCACTTCACCAAGCCCAGAGAGTTCAGCCACAAGTATCCGGCCCTCAGGCTCCAGCAGTTCTATGTTATCCAACAAGGAAGTAGCCCTACCTGGGACCAAGCCTGGCACAGGTACGAACATTTGTAGCTTTGATGTGGCACAGGTCTCAAGAACTCTGGAGGTTACTCTTCAAAGCCATTGCTTGTTGTAGAACAGCCGCTGGTGACATATCCCTATGGGTTCTGTGCCTGTACTTTCTACTGTCAGTCAGTCGGGCTCAGATGTTCAGCACTACAGTGTCTTACTTTGACCGTAGCTTAAATTACTTTGATAATTGGTGTAATTTGGCTTCAGATGATGCAATTGTCAGATCTGATCACATGTGACGAGGCTTCTCTAAGGAACCTCTGATGGAGCCAAAATATTTCTGAATATACATTATTTTTGTTGTTTTCCCAAGTTTTTTTGCGTTTGTTAATTATGTGGCTCCTATTATTCTGTGTACCCAGTAAGTTATATCAGCCCTGATCTGTCCTGCACATATGACAGTCTACAATACATGCCAGTTGGCCAGTGTAGTTCTCAAGCAGGTGACTAGGAGCATGCTCACACAGCTGGCTATCAGTACACTTGTGTGGGATGTGTGGGCAGATTGTGAGGGCTGCAGTGAGGTCAGCTTCAGAGGATGTAGATGTCAGATCTGATCAAAGCTGGCGATACTCTAAGGAACCTCTGATGAAGCAAATGCCAGCCTTTGGAATTACCAAACTGACAAATCTTTAGTGTGTTGATGTTTGTTCAAGTGTCCCTTCTTGGAGCCCTATAGGTGCATCAGTCTCACCATCCATTAGGTAATTGTACCAACCCTGACATCTGCCTAGGAATATGTTGAAGTTTAGACCACATGTGATGTTACCATTTCATTTTAGGCTGTTTTGCCATTTTTTCTCATCCTTCTTACAGTTATATAGTAGGAATTATCTACTGTATGTATGTATGTATGTATGTCTCTTGTCTGTCTGTGAAACCTATCTGCCCGTGGAACCTGTCTGCCTGTGGTTTTACCATTTCCTTTAATCTTTGTCATTTTCTCATCCTTCCTCCAGTTACATGATGGACAGCATCATATAGAATTCTCTACAGTGTATATGTCTCTTGTCTGTCTGTGGAACCTGTATGTCTGTGAGATCTGCAATAAGCTTCAGATGATGCAACTGTTAAAGACTGAATCATCGCTGACTCTAAGAAACCTGTGATGAAACTTCTGGACACCATCTCCCCCCACCCCACTGAATGATGGTCACAATTGATTGTCAAACCGTGCTCGAAAGTTTCTTCCCTGAATAATTTTAATTTTGTATTCATCCATTGTGGGCAGATTGTTCCCCTCTTTTCTGTAATTTGTGTGTGTGTGTGTGTGTGTGTGTGTGTGTGTGTGTGTGGGTCTTCTTGAAACCAGGCTTCTTTAGTTTTCATCTCTTGTTTGGATGGATTAGTATGTTGTCTTTTCCATTTCTTTAGATTTTCAGTACTTTTCTTTAATATTTATCTTTAGGCACCAGTGCTTTAAAATTTGAAGCTGACACACACGTGTGTTTGTGTGTCAGAGAAACTGTTATTGCTGGCACTGACACACGTGTGTGTGAGAGAGAAACTGTTATTGCTGGCACTGACACACGTGTGTGTGAGAGAGAAACTGTTATTGCTGTGACTCACACGTGTGTGTGTGTGTCAGAGCAACTGTTATTGCTGACACTGACACACGTGTGTGTGAGAGAGAAACTGTAATTGCTGACACTGACACACACGTGTGTGTGAGAGAGAAACTTATTGCTGACACACACGTGTGTGTGAGAGAGAAACTGTTATTGTTGACACTGACTCACACGTGTGTGTGAGAGAGAAACTTATTGCTGACACACACGTGTGTGTGAGAGAGAAACTGTTATTGTTGACACTGACTCACACGTGTGTGTGAGAGAGAAACTGTTATTGCTGACACTGAGACACACGTGTGTGTGTGAGAGAACCTGTTATTTATTGCTGACACTGACACACACGTATGTGTGAGAGAGAAACTGTTATTGCTGACACTGACACACATGTGTGTGAGAGAGAAACTGTTATTGCTGACACTGACTCACACGTGTGTGTGTGAGAGAGAAACTGTTATTGCTGACACTGACTCACACGTGTGTGTGTGAGAGAGAAACTGTTATTTATTGCTGACACTGACACACACGTATGTGTGAGAGAGAAACTGTTATTGCTGACACTGACACACACGTGTGTGTGTGAGAGAAACTGTTATTACTGACACACACGTGCGTGTGAGAGAGAAACTGTTATTGCTGACACACATGTGTGTGTGAGAGAGAAACTGTTATTGCTGACACTGACTCACATGTGTGTGTGTGAAAGAGAGAAACTGTTATTGCTGACACTGACACACGTGTGTGTGAGATAGAAACTGTTATTGCTGACACTGACACAGTGTGTGAGAGAGAAACTGTTATTCCTGACACTGACACATACGTGTGTGTGAGAGAAACTGTTATTACTGACACTGACACACACGTGTGTGTGTAAGAGAGAAACTTATTACTGACACAGTGTGTGAAAGAGAGAAACTGTTATTGCTGACACTGACACAGTGTGTGTGAGAGAGAAACTGTTATTGCTGACACTGACACACACGTGTGTGTATGCAAGAGAAACTGTTATTGCTGACACTGACTCACATGTGTGTGTGTGAGAGAGAAACTGTTATTGCTGACACTGACTAACACGTGCGTGTGTGAGAGAGAAACTGTTATTGCTGACACTGACACACACGTGTCTGTGAGAGAGAAACTGTTATTGCTGACACTGACACACACGTGTGTGTGTGAGAGAGAAACTGTTATTGCTGACACTGACTCACACGTGTGTGTGAGAGAGAGAAACTGTTTTTGCTGACACTGACACACACACGTGTGTAAGAGAGAAACTATTATTGCTGACACTGACAAACTCCTGTGTGTGAGAGAGAAACTGTTATTACTGACACACACGTGTGTGTGTGAGAGAGAAACTGTTATTGCTGACACTGACACACACGTGTGTGTGAGAGAGAAACTGTTATTTATTGCTGACACTGACACACACGTATGTGTGAGTGAGAAACTGTTATTGCTGACACTGACACACGTGTGTGTGTGTGAGAGAGAAACTGTTATTACTGACACTGACTCACACGTGTGTGTGTAAGAGAGAAACTGTTATTGCTGACACTGACACACACGTGTGTGTGTGAGAGAAACTGTTATTACTGACACACACGTGCGTGTGAGAGAGAAACTGTTATTGCTGACACACACGTGTGTGTGAGAGAGAAACTGTTATTGCTGACACTGACTCACATGTGTGTGTGTGAAAGAGAGAAACTGTTATTGCTGACACTGACACACGTGTGTGTGAGATAGAAACTGTTATTGCTGACAATGACACAGTGTGTGAGAGAGAAACTGTTATTCCTGACACTGACACATACGTGTGTGTGAGAGAAACTGTTATTACTGACACTGACACACACGTGTGTGTGTGTAAGAGAGAAACTTATTACTGACACAGTGTGTGAAAGAGAGAAACTGTTATTGCTGACACTGACACAGTGTGTGTGAGAGAGAAACTGTTATTGCTGACACTGACACACACGTGTGTGTATGCGAGAGAAACTGTTATTGCTGACACTGACTCACATGTGTGTGTGTGAGAGAGAAACTGTTATTGCTGACACTGACTAACACGTGCGTGTGTGAGAGAGAAACTGTTATTGCTGACACTGACACACACGTGTCTGTGAGAGAGAAACTGTTATTGCTGACACTGACACACACGTGTGTGTGTGAGAGAGAAACTGTTATTGCTGACACTGACTCACACGTGTGTGTGTGAGAGAGAGAAACTGTTATTGCTGACACTGACACACACACGTGTGTAAGAGAGAAACTATTATTGCTGACACTGACAAACTCCTGTGTGTGAGAGAGAAACTGTTATTACTGACACACACGTGTGTGTGTGAGAGAGAAACTGTTATTGCTGACACTGACACACACGTGTGTGTGAGAGAGAAACTGTTATTTATTGCTGACACTGACACACACGTATGTGTGAGTGAGAAACTGTTATTGCTGACACTGACACACGTGTGTGTGTGTGAGAGAGAAACTGTTATTACTGACACTGACTCACACGTGTGTGTGTAAGAGAGAAACTGTTATTGCTGACACTGACACACATGTGTGTGTGTGTGAGAGAGAAACTGTTATTGCTGACACTGACTCACACGTGTGTGTGTGTGAGAGAGAGAAACTGTTATTGCTGACACTGACTCACACGTGTGTGTGTGTGAGAGAAACTGTTATTGCTGACACTGACTCACACGTGTGTGTGTGAGAGAGAAACTGTTATTGCTGACACTGACACACACATGTGTGTGTGTGAGAGAGAAACTGTTATTGCTGACACTGACACACACGTGTGTGTGAGAGAGAAACTTATTTATTGCTGACACTGACACACACGTATGTGTGAGAGAGAAACTTATTTTTTGCTGACACACACGTATGTGTGAGAGAGAAACTGTTATTGCTGACACTGACTCACACGTGTGTGTGAGAGAGAAACTGTTATTGCTGACACTGACTCACACGTGTGTGTGCGAGTGAGAAACTGTTATTTATTGCTGACACTGACACACACATGTGTGTGAGAGAGAAACTGTTATTGCTGACACTGACACACACGTATGTGTGAGAGAGAAACTGTTATTGCTGACACTGACACACACGTGTGTGTGAGAGAGAAACTGTTATTGCTGACACTGACATACACGTGTGTGTGAGAGAGAAACTGTTATTGCTGGCAGCACTTGGGTTGTGCTTCAGATGATGTAGCTGTGAGAGCTGATCATACCTGAGGATACTTCTTTAAGGAACCTCTGATGAAGCTTTCCCACACTCCCTTTCCTGAAGATTGTCCACCCCACACTGTCATCTTCTAGTCATAATTACCTCACTTATAAGTGTTATTGTTGAACAAATGGTGATGTTTCTCCAAGTCTAGACACAGACTTTGATGAGCGTTTGTCTTCAGATGATGAATCTGTCAGATCTGATCATCTTTGATGAGATCTTCTAAGGAACCTATGATGAAAATGTACAGATGTTGAAAACTGAGCATTTTGACAGTCCTGTTTGATTCTTCACAATCTCTCATGTTTAGCAGATCATGTTATATCTGTTGCATGTTTGCATACACAGAAGCTGATGTCTTTATTGTCTGTGCTTGCCAGGTGTCAGCCCAGAGAACTCCCTGAGTGCACTGTTCAAAAAGCCAGCTGGCAGTTGGGAGTGCGACACCTGCTTGGTACAGAACACAGCTACAGCTGTCAGATGTTTGGCCTGTGATTCCTCAAAACCTGGCCTGCAGGCTGCTGGCATAGGTAAGTTTGTTTCCATGTTAGGTTTGTGTTTAGATAATTGATTAAACCTGGCATTGAATTCAGGCTGTTATACTTGTGTGTATTTTCTTAGGTTACTTTTTATGTCCTTTTTCCACATCCCTGAAAGCCAAGGGGGGGCGGGGGGATAGTCTTGAAGTGTGTTGAATGGAACCAATGTCATTTGTTTATTATGTTGATTGCTAATATAATGTTTGTGTGTGTTTAGAAATGGTAATCTTTTTCTTAAAGTCCATGCTATATGTCATTGGTAGTCATGTCTATCTACAACCTTCTGTCTCGTGTGCTATCATTCAACTCTGACACAGATGATCCTCAATGCCATGATGTCAAGATGTCCAGCATCTGTTCTCTCTGTCTCCCTCTACCTCTCGTCCCCTCCAACTTTCCTACTGTCACAATCTACTTCAGTTTTCTCCTTCTCATGACACAACCAAAGAATGTTGATTCTCTCCTTCTGAAGTGGGCAGTCAATTAATTATCTTAATAAGTGATGATAGGAAGAAGTTGACATCTGGAAAATAATAAAACATCCAACACTGAAGGTTTCTGCAAGCATTGTTTTTGTTGTTGTTGACGCTGAGCACACACCAGACAAACCTCTGTACACAGGGCAAGTAAACACACACACCACGCAACAGTAAAACTGGAGCACACGCAGGGCATCCCATACTGCCCAGTCAGCACAGATAATTGCTGTGGATTTTTGCTTGTGTGAGATTGGGCCACTGACTATTTGGGACACAGTTGTAGCTTTCACAGGCACAGCTCCTTGTTCGGCTAGTTCTCTCTTGTGCCACTCTTATCAGGTGAGTCTATTGGTTATACATTCTTCAGTTTAGTCACAGTCCAAATGTCTTTTGTTACATACAAAGTTTACTTGCATTACATCTGTAAGCAGCAACATTTGTTACATTATTACACATTATCTCACCCTTCTACAGGTCTCAGTTCTTCCATTACATTTCCAATTCTTGCCATTACTTCCTCATTGATTTGACTACATCTCATACTCCTGCTATTACTCCTCACATTATTCTTTGTGATTCTGGTGAAGGTTTGTCCTGAATTTTATCATGTAGACATTAGAGCCAAGACCATGCTCACACTTCATGCTTTGTCCCCAGTTTGCAAACCATCAGCAAGCACTACTTCATCAGCCATCACAGTGTCACCAGCAGGCGGGTTCACTTTTAACGTCTCCACCACAACTACCACAACTTCAGGATCTAGTGGTTTCAAATTTGGCAACACCAGCACAGCGGCCCTGACCTCATCCAGTTCCACACCCACCGCCACCGGTTTCGTCTTTGGCCAGGTCACATCGGCAAACAAAAACTCTGACTCCTCCACCGGCAGCACGTCTTCCACCTTGCTCACAGGTGGATTCAAATTCGGAGCAACAGGCCCAGGAAGTGGAGGTGGGGGGCAGACGTTTGCAGGTGGCTCCTCAAGTTTTTTAGCAGGAAAGACTAGTATCCTGACAGAGCCTAAGGCGGCAGCTCACACTGAAGTTGCGGCCGGACATCTGCCCACTAATGGTGTCCCACTCACAGCGGACAGTAAATCAAACATTTCTACGAATGCTACAGCTTTCCAGCCAGCCGGTAACCCTAACGGAGCACTGCAGTTTGGGACAGCACTGACCACTAAAGATAGCAACATTAAGTTGTCTCAGCAGGTCAGCTTCAACTTTACCCCAGTTAGTTCTGCTTCTTCTCCAGCATTAGTGGCACCATTATCTCAGCAACAAACAGAGAAACCAGTCTCTGCGGTTAGTGGACCAGCTAGTAACCTCTTCCAGTTTGGTGCCTCATCTGTGCCTGCAGCATCTAGCAGCGGCCTGGGGATGGGCAACAGCCTAGCCGACGCCCGACCTGTGCTTAATGGAGGCTTTGGTTCCGGCTTCGGGGCACCAACAGGAAAGGACAACTCTGGGGCTGCATCTCTGGACTCCAGCAAATCTTTGGCAAGTGAGTATATCTGAATCTTGGTCAGTTAGTAACTAGAAATGACGACACTCATGTTTATCTTTCATCCATGTGTGACTGTTCACACCATGTCGGTAATAATTTTACTATTTGTGACTACCCACCTCATGATAGTCATCCCCCTCCCAGGTGTGACTTTACACACCTGAGTCAGTCATCCCCTCCCATGTGTGACTTTACACACCTGAGTCAGTCATCCCCTCCCATGTGTGACTTTTCACACCTGAGTCAGTCATCCCCCTTCCCATGTGTGACTGCACACCTGAGTCAGTCATCCCCCTCCTATGTGTGACTGTACACACCTGAGTCAGTCATCCCCCTTCCCATGTGTGACTACACACCTGAGTTAGTCATTCCCCTCCCATGTCTGACTACACACCTGAGTCAGTCATCCCCCCTCCTATGTGTGACTGTACACACCTGAGTCAGTCATCCCCCTTCCATGTGTGACTACACACCTGAGTTAGTCATTCCCCTCCTATGTGTGACTGTACACACCTGAGTCAGTCATCTTCCTCCTATGTGTGACTGTACACACCTGAGTTAGTCATCTTCCTCCTACGTGTGCTGACTGTACACCTGTGCTTGTTGGCTGTAGTTCCCATACCTGTACCGTTATGTTGTTGGCTGTAGTTCCCATACCTGTACCGTTATGTTGTTGGCTGTAGTTCCTATACCTGTACCGTTATGTTGTTGGCTGTAGTAGTTCCCATACCTGTACCGTTATGTTGTTGGCTGTGGTTCCCATACCTGTACCGTTATGTTGTTGGCTGTAGTTCCCATACCTGTACCGTTATGTTGTTGGCTGTAGTTCCCATACCTGTACCGTTATGTTGTTGGCTGTAGTTCCCATACCTGTACCGTTATGTTGTTGGCTGTAGTTCCAAAACCTGTACCGTTATGTTGTTGGCTGTAGTTCCCATACCTGTACCGTTATGTTGTTGGCTGTAGTTCCCATACCTGTACCGTTATGTTGTTGGCTGTAGTAGTTCCCATACCTGCACTGATGAATGTTGTTGGCTGTAGCTCCCATACCTGTACTGTTGTGTTATGTTGTTGGCTGTAGTTTCCATACCTGTTCTGTTGTGTTATGTTGTTGGCTGTAGTTCCCATACCTGTACTGTTGTGTTATGTTGTTGGCTGTAGTTCCCTACCTGTTATGTTGTTGGCTGTAGTTCCCATATCTGTACCATTGTGTTGTTGGCTGTAGTTCCCATATCTGTACCCTTGTGTTACTTTCTTAGCTGTTTCCATTCCTGTACTGTTGTGCTATATGTGTTGTGACCTCTGACATGTTGTTTTTGTCTGACAGGTTTTACCTTTGGCACCAACCAGCCACCACCAACATTTGCCAGTTTTGGCCAGGTCTCGGCAGCCACTGTTGGGAGTTCACAGGTGTCTCAGTCCGGCAAACGGACTGTGGACTTCGGTGGTAGGTGTTTCCAATTCTTGTCTTGTCATTTGAATGTGAGGTTGTTTTTGTGTGTTATGTCTTAGCTAATGTAATTATTTTCATGGTAATAACTAGAGCAGTTTTATATCAGGTACATAAAGGTAGTGACTCAGTTGCTAAATAATTAAATGGTGGAGGCCCAGCCGTAACACACTTTGCAGGGTTGAAATGCTTAGTTACTCGGCAGATTGTTGCTGAATTATTAAATGATGGAGGCCCAGCCGTAACACACTTTGCAGGGTTGAAATGCTTAGTTACTCGGCAGATTGTTGCTAAATTATTAAATGGTGGAGGCCCAGCCGTAACACACTTTGCAGGGTTGAAATGCTTAGTTACTCGGCAGATTGTTGCTAAATAATTAAATGGTGGAGGCCTAGCCGTAACACACTTTGCAGGGTTGAAATGCTTAGTTACTCGGCAGATTGTTGCTAAATTATTAAATGGTGGAGGCCTAGCCGTAACACACTTTGCAGGGTTGAAATGCTAAGTTACTCGGCAGATTGTAACAAAGATAAATTATTACTGTCACCTTTCAAACACATGTGCTTGTTTTGTGATACACACACTTATGCTTAGTGATTACTGTTGTCATTTTCTTTGCTGAAAGCCCGGCCAACTAGAGCAGTATATTCTGGTGAAAAACAGTTCTTGAAGTGCATTTTCTGTGTTCTGTAGTAAAGTCTGTTCTCAGGATAGTGACTCACTGGACTCGATCATCAGTTGAACATATCTGCCACTGCTTTATCTCGTATAGACGTGTTGTCTGAGTCTTCCTAATGCTGGTTTCATTAGTCTTTTCTCTACCCTCAGAAGCAGATCACTCCAGTGCCAAGAAGTCGTTTAACTTTGGGACAAGTAGCAGTGATGCCCCATCCAATGGACTCTTTACTTTTGGGGGTAAGTACCAGAATCTTGTTTAAAAAGCCATGGACTTGGCCTACAAAAAGAAGTAAGACTCATTTCATTAGTACAAGTACAAACATGTTCAGCAAGGAGAAGTAAGACTTGGTCCACAAATAGAAGTGTAGACATGGTCCACAAATAGAAGTGCAGACTTGGTCCACAAATAGAAGTGCAGACATGGTCCACAAAAACAAGTGTAGACATGGTCCACAAATATAAGTTCAGACATGATCAACAAATAGAAGTGCAGACATGGTCCACAAAAACAAGTGTAGACATGGTCCACAAATAGAAGCAGACTTGGTCCACAAATAGAAGTGTAGACATGGTCCACATTTAAAAGTAGACATGGTCCACAAATAGAAATGTAGACATGGTCCACAAATAGAAGGTCAGACATGATCCACAAATAGAAGTGTAGACTTGGTCCACATTTTAAAAGTATAGACATGGTCCACAAATAGAAGTATAGACATGGTCCAAAAATAGAAGTACAGACTTGGTCCACAAATAGAAGTGCAGACATGGTCCACAAATAGAAGTGTAGACATGGTCCACAAATAGAAGTTCAGACGTGGTCCACAAATAGAAGTTCAGACGTGGTCCACAAATAGAAGTTCAGACGTGGTCCACAAATAGAAGTGTAGACATAGTCCACAAATAGAAGCAGACTTGGTCCAAAAATAGAAGTGTAGACATGGTCCAAAAATAGAAGTGCAGACATGGTCCAAAAATAGAAGTGTAGACATGGTCCACAAATAGAAGTGTAGACATTGTTCACAAATAGAAGTGTAGACATGGTCCACAAATAGAAGTGTAGACATGGTCCACAAATAGAAGTGCAGACATGGTCCACAAATAGAAGTGCAGACATGGTCCACAAATAGAAGTGTAGACATGGTCCACAAATAGAAGTGTAGACATGGTCCACAAATAGAAGTGCAGACTTGGTCCACAAATAGAAGTGCAGACTTGGTCCACAAATAGAACAACAGGACAGTTGAAAATACAGATGTGCACACAAACAGAATGTGAACACAATTTTTTAATGACAGGTTTGTTATGTAATCTGGTTGTTGTAAAAATGTTCCCTAGATCCAGTTGTCATTGCTAAATTCTGTAATGAATTATCAAGGTTTTATGCAGGCTAATCTCCGACTGAGCAGTTCGATGTCTGACAACACCATGAGTCTCTGGCAAAGTTAACAGAAAGTAATTTTGTGACAAAGTAAACAGAAAAAATTTAGTGGCAGAATTAAATGGCAACAGAATTAACAGAAAATAAATCTGACAAAATTAACAGTAGAGCTGACATCTAGTCTTGTAACACTGACTTTGTAAAACCTGGTAGCAAAGAGGGCGGGAAAGCTAAGTGGAAGAATTGTAATGCTAGAGCTTCCGAGGGATTGGTAGATGCAGGTTTCCTTTAGGTATTGAACACTAGTATATTGATTTGTTGCTTGCTGCAATTTTGGCATGATTTCAAACTGTCATATTTATTTGTTAAAAGGTTCTTCGGAATCAAAAACGTCTGCCTTCGCTGTCAGTTCTACTGCTAGTTCTTCTACTGGAGGCTGTGTATTATTGAGCTCCAACCAGACAGGCGGTCCTGCGCCGGGTGGTGGCTTTCAATTCTCTAATAGCTCCAACCAAACAGGTGGTCCTGCGCCAGGCGGTGGCTTTCAGTTCTCTCATGGCTCGTCTGCAGCTCCTGCTTTCCAGGGCTTCAACTTTTCATTGAAAGCACCAAACGAGACTCCCAAACTTGCTTCATTTGAGGCACCAGTACTCCAAGGTACACTGCTCAGTTGTCATGTAGGGGTACTGTAGTGTTAGTTAGGGGGAGGTTAACATTAGCCGTAGGGTGGGATGAGTGTTAGATTCAGGAGAATGAGTTTGTCTGGCAGAGATGGGTTTTAGTCTGGCAGAGATGGGTTTTAGTCTGGCAGAGATGGGTTTTAGTCTGGGAGAGATGGGTTTTAGTCTGGGAGATGTGAGCATTAATCTGAGGGAGGTGAGCGTTATCTGTGGCACTGTGTTGTGAAAGTCATCACCAGTAAAGAGATCATCATGTTTGTGGGAGTTCATTAGTGATGACCGATGTTATCAGTCTGATTGAACTTCTGTACATGTTGGGGGGGGGGGGGGGGGGGGGGGGGGGGGGGTGTTAAAGATTTTCAAGTATTATGTCATCATGACCAAGGTACATGGGATAACTACTGCGGCAGGCAGTCACTGTCATCACATTTCTATACTTTACTCCACCTAATTGTGCCTGCACTGCAGGTGTGGCTGTTGTAAGTGTGGTACTTGGATTATGCCTGCAGGTGTGGCTGTTGGAAGTGTGTTACTTAGATTATGCCTGCAGGTGTGGCTGTTGGAAGTGTGGTACTTAGATTATGCCTGCAAGTGTGGCTGTTAGAAGTGTGTTACTTAGATTATGCCTGCAGCTGTGGCTGTTGAAAGTGTGGCCTACTGTTTGAAGCATGGTCGCAACCGAACAGTTGTACCAATGGGCTGGAAAATCTGTCAGTATACATTAGACATAGTGGTAACATGCTAGTGATAGTCATGAAATATTTGAGAACATTCAATGGTCATCATAATACTCCACACCGTTTTATACCATGTCATTTTGCAACTGATTTGACCTTATTTTCAGGAGCAACCTCATTCAACGCAACACCCAGTTTCAACTTCAGCTCCACTTCACAACCTAATTCTGTGTTTCAGTTTGGTGCCAAGCCTGTAAGTTTTTATTTCTTATGTTTTGTAAACTGTCTGTAGTAGTTCTCTTGTGTCAATCTTTTCTACATTGTTTTATGTGTAGTCTGTGATCTGTAAGTTGTCACATGTATCAGTGGGTTTCATGTTGTTTGATGTGTAGTCTGTGATCTGTAAGTGCTCACATGTATCAGTGGTGTCATTTCATTTTGTTATATGTGTAGTCTCTGTTTGATCTATAAGTCATCACATGTATCAGTGGTTTCATGTTGTTTTATGTGTAGTCTGATCTGTAAGTCATCACATTTATCAGTGGTTTTATGTGTAGTCTCTGTTTGATCTATAAGTCGTCAAATTTATCAGTGGGTTTTTTTCTTTTGATATGCATATTATCATATGATCATAACATGCTTTATTAGTAAAAATACAACTGCTGTGCGAAAGATGGTTGACTGGAAGGGCCGAATGAAAGACGGGACTGCGTGCCCAATTTGTGACCCTTTGAAAATAAAGTTCGTTCGTTCGTTCGTTGTTCCATGATTCATTGCAAGCATAGGCAGACTGATGGCAGTCGTTGGTAGCTAGATATTGATGTTCCGTGATTCATTGCATGCATATGCAGACTGATGGCAGTCGTAGGTAGCTAGATATTGATGTTCCATGATTCATTGCAAGTATAGGCAGACTGATGGCAGTCGGTGGTAGCTAGATATTGATGTTCCATGATTCATTGCAAGCATAGGCAGACTGATGGCAGTCGGTGGTAGCTAGATATTGATGTTCCATGATTCATTGCAAGCATAGGCAGACTGGTGGTAGCTAGATATTGATGTTCCATGATTCATTGCAAGTATAAGCAGTCTGTGGTAGCTAGATATTGATGATCCATGATTCATTGCAAGTATAAGCAGACTGATGGCAGTCTGTGGTAGCTAGATATTGATGTTCTATGATTCATTGCAAGCATAGGAAGTCGGTGGTAGCTAGATATTGATGTTATATGATTCATTGCAAGCAAAGGCAGACTGGTGGCAGTCTGTTGTAGCTAGATATTGATGTTTTATGATTCATTGCAAGCATAGGAAGACTCATGGCAGTCGTAGGTAGCTAGATATTGATGTTCCATGATTCATTGCAAGTATAGGCAGACTGATGGCAGTTGGCGGTAGCTAGATATTGATGTCCAGTGATTCATTGCAAGCATAGGCAGACTGATGGCAGTCGGTGGTAGCTAGATATTGATGTTCTGTGATTCTTCAGAGGTAGGATCTAGCACAGACAAGCAAATATCAAGTATTCAAGCGGCTGTATTTATTTTAGTCAAGTCTATTTCAGTGCTGTTTTCTGTTTGCAGACAGTATGTTCACAACTTGTTAAGATGTGCCACAGTGCAGTTACAAATATCAAGAAAAGGGGTTTTGAGAAAATCTCAAAAAAAGTAACTGACTAATCTGGTTTTCTCAATAATCCTTGACCTAATGAGTCTCTGCTGCATGAGAGTCATCCTCAGGGTATTCCTCACCTGTCTGAATACTTGCTCTTTTTATCTTCTTACTCACTTGTTCTTCTTCTTCAGCTGCTCTTTCACGTGCCTGATCAAATCTACGAAAGTGGAAACACTGTGCCACAGCTTAGCCCTGCCTAGTTCCCCTTCATTATATATAATAACAGCAGTACTCACCGCCATGTCTAGCCTACATCTACTAACATGGTTTACAGGGCAGTACTCACCGCCATGTGTAGCCTACATCTACTGACATGGTTTACAGGGCAGTACTATCCGCCATGTGTAGCCTACATCTCCTGACATGGTTTACAGGGCAGTACTCACCGCCATGTCTAGCCTACGTCTACTGACATGGTTTACAGGGCAGTACTCACCGCCATGTCTAGCCTACATCTACTGACATGGTTTACAGGGCAGTACTCACCGCCATGTGTAGCCTACATCTACTGAGATGGTTTACAGGGCAGTACTCACCGCCATGTCTAGCCTACATCTCCCGACATGGTTTACAGGGCAGTACTCGCCGCCATGTCTAGCCTACATCTCCCGACATGGTTTACAGGGCAGTACTCGCCGCCATGTCTAGCCTACATCTCCCGACATGGTTTACAGGGCAGTACTCGCCGCCATGTCTAGCCTACAACTCCCGACATGGTTTACAGGGCAGTACCCACCGCCATGTGTAGCCTACATCTCCCGACATGGTTTACAGGGCAGTACTCACCGCCATGTCTAACCTACATCTACTGACATGGTTTACAGGGCAGTACCCACCGCCATGTGTAGCCTACATCTACTGACATGGTTTACAGGGATTATAGTAGGCTGTCTATCCCAATTATACAAACTACAGCACTCACAGCCATGTCTAACCTACATCTTCCGACATGGTTTACAGGGATTATATTAGGCTGTCTATCCCAATTATACAAACTACAGCACTCACAGCCATGTCTAACCTACATCTTCCGACATGGTTTACAGGGATTATATTAGGCTTTCTATCCCAATTATACAAACTACAGCACTCACAGCCATGTCTAACCTACATCTTCTGACATGGTTTACAGGGATTATATTAGGCTGTCTATCCCAATTATACAAACTACAGCACTCACAGCCATGTCTAACCTACATCTTCTGACATGGTTTACAGGGATTATATTACGCTGTCTATCCCAATTATACAAACTACAGCACTCACAGCCATGTCTAACCTACATCTTCCGACATGGTTTACAGGGATTATATTAGGCTGTCTATCCCAATTATACAAACTACAGCACTCACAGCCATGTCTAACCTACATCTTCTGACATGGTTTACAGGGATTATATTAGGCTGTCTATCCCAATAATACAAACTACAGCACTCACAGCCATGTCTAACCTACATCTTCCGACATGGTTTACAGGGATTATATTAGGCTGTCTATTCCAATTATACAAACTACAGCACTCACAGCCATGTTTAGCCTACATCTTCTGACATGGTTTACAGGGATTATATTAGGCTGTCTATCCCAATAATACAAACTACAGCACTCACAGCCATGTCTAGCCTACATCTTCTGACATGGTTTATCCCAATTATACAAACGGGTAAAATAATAATTAAAATAAGTTAATAAGTAACTGAGTTATGACAGTTCGACTATTTTGCCTTTATAGTCAATAAAGTTACCATGCCAATTAAATTTTTTTTTATTAAAATTGCTTTTAGGTGAAATTTTCCAACTAGATGCCTTATTATTGTGTGCAGAATACACTTTCATTTTGTGTTGGAAAAAAAATTCAGTTTTAGGAATAAAATAGTCACTTTTGCTGTTTGAACCTGTTACTTAATGACACTTGCCCACGTGGGTTCCCGGGTCCCCATTGTGGAACAGAAATTGAGAACTTCTATGAAGGTTGGAATGTTTCTGCTCGAGCAGCCAGGAACAAACAAGTGAACACAGATAAGTCAGGACAGATGTACATGCAAAACTTGAGACTCTGGCACAAAGCTAAAGTTTGAATGGGTGAACAACCAAGACTTTCTGTCAGAGCTTACATGCAAAACTTGAGACTCTGGCACAAAGCTAAAGTTTGAATGGGTGAACAACCAAGACTTTCTGTCAGAGCTTACATGCAGCCAACAAAGAAGCAAATGACATTTGAATCATAAAGTATTTGTTGTTGTGCTAACTAATACCTGTCTATTTTTCAGCACTGGTAGTGATACTAACAGGAAGTTCAAGAAAGCCATACGAAGAACTACCAAGAAATGAGACTACACCGGGCTGTGACCTGCGAATACATTCATAGCTACAGCCTTCAGCAAGGGCAGGAATTGTTTCACCCTAGTGTGGTCTATCTCAACAACAGTACTCGTTAGATGAGGCAGCGGCCGCCTCCGCTTTCAGCCAGCTGTGTCCACACATACACACACAGTCCTGCACTCTGTGACACTTGTTTCTTGTATGATAGATCTCCTGATATATAGAAACACTCCCATAGGGCAAGTCAGCTGGCTCGTCCAGGCCAACAGAACAGTTACAAGAGCCGAGGAGAGTGGGATTTCCTGTGACAGTTTGCCAGGGCTGTACCTTTTGTTCCAGTCTGAGAATGGGAGGAGGAGGGTTCTAGATGCTAGTGCTTGTAGCTGCTGGGCCCAGAGATTTTGTAGATAATTGAGCAGACATGTTGTGGTAGACTTCAAGCCACGTCTGTGCCTGGCCAGTTGCTGTCAACACAGAGATCTTGTTTGTTTCCAGCATTCAGTGCCTGATGTGTATCAGTTTCTCATTGCCATTACACAGAACATGGTTGTATATGAAAGCTGTGGTTGCATTGTTGCTGTCGAATGGCCCAAGATGGTTGCTGTGAAGATAGCAATGTGTTCCACACTCACCAGATAATAAAACACTTGTCACTATCATGTGCCCAGCCTTGTTACAGATGACTAAACCTTTTATGTTATCATTTTTTTTTTCAAGGTGCATTTGTATACAGGGTTTTTTGTTTGTATTTTTTAACATTCATTTTATGGTTTTGTATTCGGATTTGTTAATATGGAAGTTTGTTCATATTTGTATGATCCTGTTGCTTGTCTTCTCTAGTTGGTGAGGCATTGCTTGTGTGTCACATTCTGTTTCACATTATCGTCACTATCACCTCATGTTTTTATTTAGTTGATCAGCTCTGTTGTTGGGAATTCAGATGAGATGTCAACACATTATAAATTAATGTAAAGTTAGCATGCATCAAATATCTGTGTAAAGTTGACATTTGGAAATCTTAACCAAGTTTGGGAAGAAGGTGTTCGTGTTGTGATTGAAGTGTGTTTAGTCTGTTTTATGTAGAGGGATTAACGGTCTTTGTTGTGGAGTGGTCACACTGTTTGCCTCCTGCTCTAAAGTTCATGGGTTCATCACACAGCTGCATGGTTGTGATCATGAATGCACCATTGACATCATGCGCTGTGTGACGCTCTCGGCTGCAGTGTTTTCATTCTGTGGACAGAGTCATGTGGGATC